GCCTCTCTGCCCTGAAAACTGTTCTCTGTTCACCGCCCGTCCTGCGCATCGCCGACCCACACCGCCCATTCGAAGTAGTTACCGACGCAAGCGACATCGCCATCGGAGACGTACTGCTACAAGACTTCGGCAACAGCCTACAACCCATCGCATACGAGTCACGAAAACTGCATCCGCCCGAGAAAAATTACCCGATACACGACCGCAAAATGCTTGTGATCGTGCACGCGTTCAAAGTGTGGCGCTGTTACTTGACCGGCGCAGACGTGACAGTACGGACAGACCATAAATCACTACAGTACCTCCGCGCACAGCCACACCTCAACCCACGACAGATTCGCTGGCTCGATTTTCTCGAGTCCAATTTTCACTACACGGTCACCTACAAAAAGGGAGCCTCGAACATCGCTGACGCACTGACCCGCCCCACTGCCCAGATCCATGCAATACTACTCGCCCAGACCAGTCCCCTACTGTCAGGCCTATTTTCCCACGGGTACCAAACGGATCCATTCTTCACAGGAGGAAATTCGCAGCAGTTCGCAGCAGCAAGGGGAGACTATTACGTAAAATCCGGGACCGACCGCATCTGGGTGCCCGGGTACACACTGCTACGGGAATTACTATTACAGGAGGCACACGACGGAGTTACCTCGGGGCATTTCGGGGTAGAGAATGTCAGAATGTTATATTTGTCTAGCCTGCAGTGGGGTACTCTATAGCGAGTACAGCCCGAATTAGGGTTTCCTATATGTACTCAACTGCCTGCTAGTGCAATCCCTCTTCTCCTGTTCATTCTCGTTTCCTACCTTGTGACATGGTTTCAGAGCAGGTCGACCCTCCCTGGTCGATCCTGTGGATGGGCCCACCCAAAGCTTCCGCTGCTGTACTGCCTGTCGCGCGCCCCGGGCGCGCGAAGTTTTCTGCGTGCCGCGCGCTCGGAGCGTGCGGCGTTTTTTCTTTCCGCCGCGCGCTCGGGGCGCGCGGCGGTTTTCTGCCCGTCGCGACTCTGCCCTGCTCGTCGCGCCGCCCTGCTGGCCGCGCGACGCCCTGCCCTGCCCATCGCGCGCCCCGTGGCCCGCGGCGGTTTTCTGCCCGCCGTGCGCCCCGAGGCGCGCGGCGGTTTCCTGCCTCCCGCGTCGCCCCCGCTGGACCCGCGCGCCGCCCTGCGGGACCCGCGCGCTGCCCCGTCGACCAGCTCGCCGCCCCGTGGGAGTCGCGCGCTCCCCCCGTCGACCCGCGCGTCGCCCCTGGGGACCTACGCGCGCGGCCCCGTCGACCCGCGCGCTGCACCCGTCGACCAGCGCGTTGCCCCAGGGGACCTGCGCGCCCTGCCCCGTAAACCCGCGCGCGCTACCCTGTGGAGCCGCGCATCGCCCCCCCCTCCTTCCCCGTTGTCTCTCTGCTGCATGTGCAGCAGTTGGGGAGGGTCTGGGGGTGGCGGGTGTGTGAACCGTCCCTTGCTCCTTCTCCTACTTCGTCTCCCACTGCTGCAGCTGCCGCTGAGGGGGGTGGGTGTGTGGGAGCTGAGGGAGTGGTGCTAGGGGGGTGACATGGGAGTGGAGCTAAGGGTGCAGCAGGGGGTGTGTGAAAGGGGGTCTGCGACAGTGGGGGAGAGTGTGCGGAGGTATCCGTCGTGTCGCCAGCAGCGCGAGTAGTCCGGAGGCTACAATCTCCGGTAGCCCAGCGAGCCTGCTGCGCCAGTCGCCCGTGGGTCCGTTGCTCCTGCCGCTCGTCTTAGCCGCGGAGCCAGTTGCTCCTGTAGTCCGGAGGCTACAATCTCCGGTAGCCACCGTGTGCGCGCTCCTATTGCCCGTGTGTCTGCGGCTTCACCCGTCGCCTCCAATCTCCTCTCCTCTCACAGTCCAGCCTCCTCCTCCTCATTTGCCCTTTGTGAATGCCTCTAGCTGTACTTGTGCTTGTGAACTATTCTGTGACTGCTTGTTGTGCTGATTATACCCCACTTTGACAATGGAGGTGTGTCAGAATGTTATATTTGTCTAGCCTGCAGTGGGGTACTCTATAGCGAGTACAGCCCGAATTAGGGTTTCCTATATGTACTCAACTGCCTGCTAGTGCAATCCCTCTTCTCCTGTTTATTCTCGTTTCCTACCTTGTGACAGAGAAAACACGGCAGTAGCTGCAGCGGTATTATTACTGGCCCGAGATGTTGACCGACGTACAACGACACGTGGCATCGTGTCCCACTTGCCAGCTCATGAAATCATCACGGCAGCGGCCGGCAGGACAGTTGCAGCCGATACCACCCCCAGAGCGTGCTTGGCAGCAGGTGACGATGGACTTCGTCACGGGGTTACCGGCCGGAACGAGTGGGAACGACGCGATCCTGGTCGTCGTCGATCGACCGACGAAAATGGCACACTTCGCAGCCTGCAAAAAATCAATCACAGCCGAAGAAACCGCACGCCTCTTCATCTCCACCATCGTTCGACTGCACGGGATACCAGCAGCGATAATCAGCGACCGCGACACGAAATTCACCAGCAACTTCTGGCGGAACCTGTGGCAGCAGTTCGGCACGCGACTACAGTTCAGTTCTTCGTACCACCCCGAAACCGACGGACAGACAGAACGGACAAATCAGACTATGGAGCAACTCATCCGAGCCACGTGCGACGACCCAACCACCTGGGAACAACAACTGCCACTCATTGAGTTCGCATACAACAACTCACCATCCGCCACGACCCAACAGTCACCGTTTTACCTGAACTACGGACAAGACCCGGCAGTACCCATGACCCCGAATCCCGACAACGCAGTGCCACGAGCACAACAGTTCGTCGAAATTTTACAAGCAGCACGGACCCAGGCAGTAGACGCAATAAAAAAATCAAACATCATCGCTAAACGTAACGCCGACCGCCACCGCCGACCTGTCACTTACCAACCTGACGACCTAGTTTTACTCGACACTCAGAACCTCCGACTGCCCATCACCCCAAAACTCCACCCCCAATATTGCGGGCCATTTCGCATAAGCCACATGATTACGCCCGTCACCGCCCACCTCCTCCTCCCCGCTGACTGGTACGTCAGCCCCTCATTCCACGTCAGCCTGCTTCGCCCTTACGTCCCGTCCACAAGCCAACTGCCACGTAATCGCACAGCCAGCATGACACGACCGCCGACTGAACCAATCATCACACCCGAGAAAATTCTGAGCCACAGAGTTCGTGACCCTCGAGGAGCCCGAAGGATCGAATTCCTGATCCGCTGGAAAGACCGTACACCCACCGAAGACAACTGGGTTCCCCTGGACAGAGTCGAAAACCACCCCGTCCTCACAGAGTATCTGCGCAGCCGGAACTTCAGGGATGTACACGCGCTTTTGTAAGGAGGACCTCCTTAGGGGGGGGGGGGGGGTTGTGTAAGGAAAATTCCTTTTCCTTACTTCGCGTCCCCGCTCAGCGCGTACGGCACTGTAGCACCACAGTCAGCACCGTTACCACTCGCAACCCTCGCATCGACAATCCTCCCGCCACCTTCGCACGTCGCACCCCGACCTCACGGCTCGGCGGGTAACCCGCGCTCCGGGCCTCCGCTTCGACAATTCCCCAAACCTCAGTCCCAAGCCTGTCGCGCGACAACCACAGTCCATTACCGTTACCACTGTAGTTTCGCTATATATTCTTCGCTCATGCCTGCGCTCATTGTACTCTTGCTTCGATAGTGCAATTCTCGCTCGTTCACTCAATTGCACTCGTAACAGTATATAAGGGCGCGTAACTTTTTCCATTTTCGTCAAATGTCCGGACGGAGCCTCTAAACCGGCCGGACGGAGCTCCGTACGGACGTTTGGGAAGCAGGTCCGGACGATAAGGCGTCCGGACCACAATTGTGCAACTTTTTCCCCTATCGAAAATGTAGAATCTCGCCATGAATAATAACACGCATTACAGAAATCGTATAGCACTTGGAGATTTCGCCACCAAAATTTGACGGAATCCTATTGGTTGGAAAATCTTTCACTTCGTGGCCGAATCACAGCGCAGACAAAACGGACCGTCCGAAATGCCGTTCGGACGGAGTCAGCAGGTTAGTCCGGACCACTTTTTGGCAGAAAAGTGTCAGATTGTGTCTGGACGGTAGCGACGTCGCAGGGGGTCTTGCGAACATCTAAACGGAATGTTACGAAATCAGTTACCCTACAGAAGTCCGGACGGGGCCTCCGTCCGGACGATGAAAGGTGAAAAAGTTACGCGCCCTAAGCAACTACTTTTTTCTATCAAAATAACAAAACTTAAGAGAAAGTGACGAGAATCGTGCCACGCTTCGGGTGTCTATGGAAAGAGAACTCATTATAGCTTTTGATAGTAGATATGATACATGGCATTCCATGCATGCATTTGAAAGATTGGCTGACTGACACCATTCAACAAAACCAGCACAAGACCAATATGGCCCATGTTAGTTGCAATACATCAGCTGCAACGCGCGCCGAGGAACTTGAGCTCCAATGCTTATGCAGACCCCCGATTATTCACACCAGGTTGGTTAGCACGCAGTCAGCAAATCACCATGACTACCATTTTCTTCCTCCCATGGACAGAGAAGCAGGAGACGGCGGAGTCGAGACAAAATTCCTCGGTTTGGGGAGCAGAAGCGCCAGCTTGCCATGCCGTGCTGTAGCGCACACTGCCACAGCACCGACATGCTCACAGCCGTGTGGAGCGTGCAGGAAGTAGCGAACCAGGGAGGCAAACTCTTTGGGGCACTGTGCGTGTGGCATGTGCCGTGCGTCGTTCACCAGTACCAGCCGTGAGCTGTCGCCGAGGTGCCTGAGAGGTTAGAGGGCAGAATGAGGAAATACAGGCAGAGTTTAAATAAATTAAGAACAGTTAAGATAATGAGCCTGCAAGCAAGAAGTACTATTTGTCACGAGAACTATGCGTAGGGAATCAAGGAGGTCAGAGCATGACAGATCAACTTATACAAGAAGTGACCTAATGAATGGGGGTTGGGTGGGATGTAAGGGCTTACTGCAAGAGCATTTTCCCGAATGGCAAAGGAGCGATCGGATCCTTCCTTCCACACACGATGAGAACCTCCTGTTGCACACCAGCAACGACAACAAAGACACACACAAAAAGAATTCGCATTCACTCATAGAAACTACCTGCGAAAAGGAACCAACCAGCCATTATTGTTCAACTTTTTGACAGCCAGACGAGGCACCCATCAGCACCAACCAACAACAACCACCAGCGCCAACAGCAGCAGCAGCAGCAACCAGGAACCATACCTGCTTCAGCACTGGATTCAGCCACGGGTTCAGAGGCCTGTCTCGAATGTACTCGTCCAAGCAGTGCTGCTGCTGGGTGCGGCTACCAGAAAACAGCACCTTGAGCAGATCCCGGTACAGGAACGCAGGCGCCCAGAATGTGCCTTCAAACGCTGCGTGCTGCGCTTGCCGCAACTCAGCCACAGTTTCCGGTAGCCGTGGGGAAGATGGCGCTGAAAACGAGTCAGGGGTGGGAGTAGAGTCAGCAGCGTCAGCACAAGCAGCAGCAGTGGCAGTGGATAGGCCGTGCTCTATCACACCGTCACTGCTCCGCCTCCACCTGTTGTCATTGCTGCTCCCGCCGTTGCAGCTGCTGCTGCTGTTGCTGCTGCCGCTGCTAGTGCTGCTGCTGCTGCTGCTTCTGGTACGCGCCGAGTTAGTGCACTTAGGCTGAAGTGTCGCTTCCAGGTCATGCTGAGTCATCATTGTTGTCGGAGACGTGAGAATCACCCTTCGGATAATTCCCGGGTGCTGCGCTGCCATGCGGTATGCAATGCTCGCACCGTAACCAAACCCCAGAACGTCGAACCTGGACAAATTGAGCAGCAGACGCACATACAAGGGGGTGTGAAGAGGCGAGGGAGCAAACGGCAGAAAAGGGACGAAGAAAAGAAGCAAGGGACCAGCTAAGAAAGGCTGACACAGTGCAGAGTTGAGCTGGCAAGAGTAAGCTGCAGAGCTGTGCAGAGAAATGTTGTTGAAATGCAGGGTCTTGGCAGGTGTGTGTATTATGTATACCTTGACAATCCGAGTATTCTTGCCAGCCGCATCATGCAATTGGCTTGGAACTGTATCGAGTACTTTGGGCTCTCATCCCTGCTCCTCTCCTCTTCTCCCACCCTCACCTCCTCCCCCCCTTTCTCTTCCTCCTCGCTCCCCTCCTTGTCCTCCTCCTCCCCTTCTTCCACCTCCAACGACTCTTCCACTTCCTCACTCACTCCCTCCCTCCTCCTCCCTTCCAATCCTTCACAGTCCTCCACACCAGACTCTCCAAACCACACAAGGTTCGGCACATACAACTCGAAATCCCGAGCCAGGCTCCCAACCAGCTGGTGCCAGTGCACTGTGGCGGCGTCCCCCGCCAAACCACATTTCCCCTCCCCCGAATTGTCACGGTTGCGCGCATCGTCCCCGCCCCTGCCCCCCTGCTGGTACCCCGGTCCTCCGAACCCGTGCAGCAGCAGCAGCGGCGGGTTGCGCTCCCACCGCGCCTGCTGCTGCGCGCGCCTGCGCGAGGCGGCGGCGGCGGTAGCGGCGGCGGCGGCGGCGGACGCGGGGAGCCAGCAGCGGATGGAGGTGGACGCGTCGAGGTCGATGCGGAGGGGGCGCAGACCGGCGGAGAGGAAGCGGGATTGCGTGAGGCGGAGGAAGAGTGACGCGGGGCTCACCGCCGGCCACTGATGGACAAGGGGAGCAAGCGCGGGTTGGAGGGGGAATGCGGGGGAACGGAGGGGGGAGAAAGGAGAAAAGTATGAGAATCCCGGATTGAGAACTGTTCAGACGCATAAAAACAACCAAACGGGCTCTAGAGAGGCAGCCTTGAGCAGGAACATAAAACAGGGGCAGCCAATTCTTGAAAAAGTTGGAAAAAAAAAATCTGCGTATTTCGAAACGTCTCAGTACCCCGGGCCGGAACACACCGGAGACGCTGGTAGGCGAAAAAAACTCTTCCTGCCGCTGCTGCCAAGGTCACTGCTGCTGCTGCTGCTGTCGCCATTGTCGCTTCTGCTCCCGCTCGACGTGTTGCTTGAAACGCTGCTGCTTCTAGCGAAGCCTTTTCCTCTGGTTATGCTGCTTCCCGCGCTACTGCAGCTGCTGCGGCCGAGGCTGCTAGTGGTGCTGCTGACACTGTTCCTCCGTATCCCGATCTCACGACGTTTTCCGTCTTTCGCTGGTTGGTTTCCGTCAAGCATTCCGTCGCCGTCGCTTGGACGCACGTGGTTGCACATGGATTCGGTCAATGCCGATACATCACTGCTGCATCTTCTGTCGGCGAAAATTCCGTCAAATTTTCCGTCAAGCGTTCCGCCGTCGGCGCTGCCGCGCTCAGCGCACTCTCCGGAGCACATTCCGGAAGGGTCTTCGCGCGGAGAAATGTGCGCCTCGGGGAGAGGAATTAGCCGCGCCGCTGACGAGGCCGATGGGAGGGGCTCGATCTCAGGCAATTGCGTCGACTGTGACGCTGGAGGTGACGTGGAGGGGGACGTAGATTCGGGGAGAGACGCCGCGTCCGGTGTGGCATGAGAAGCCGCCCGAGTCGCGGCGAGGAGGAAAGACGAGGTAATGGACAATGGTGATGGGGATTTCGACAAGGGTGAGGAAGAAACTGAGGTGGCGCGGTAGGAGGATGACGCGAGGGAGGGGGAGGAGAGGGAGGAGGAGGCCGAGGGAAAAGAGGAGGACGACGCGGAGGAAGCGGAGGTGGAGAGATCGCGAATCACAAGCGGCTCTTTCGATGAACGGTCAGCTGGACGCGAACAAGGAAGGGGATGAGAGAGAACGCGGACAGGAGATTCTTCGGGCAGGAACGCCTCGCGGTGCGGTTTGCCGCTCTGCCGCTTGTTGCGCGCGAACACGGTGAACGGCATCGGTCTGATCCCTTGCGGCGTGCTGCTTCGACGGCCTACACAGATCGGGAATAGAAGAAAATTCACTCGTTGATGCCCGTTTGGGTTTTTGGGGACTGACAGGGAGCATGCTAGGATAACGCTGTTCTACGAGTAGTAGAATGCTGGTTTGTGACCGACGAGGGCTGGCTCGAGCGAGCAAGACTTTGTAGGGATGACGACTGCAGCTGAGGAAGGTCTTATGCGCGCGCCCGAGGGGGAAGAGGTTGCAGGAGCGGTTGGATTGGAACAGGTGGTCAGAAGTCACTGGTTTGAAAACTCTTTGCACCGTATAGAACTGAATGTACCGACCTTTTGAACCGAATTAAAACTGGGAGAAATTTGGAAATACGAAAGGGGCCATCAGCTCATGACGAGTCGAGTCGAGCCCGACCGACACACGAGGGCAGATCAGCAGCGACCAGTCAGCGTTGAGCAAGGGTGTAGGGGGCACTGAGGGGTGCGGCGCGCGGATTGTGCGGTGGGGAGGGAGGGAGATTTCGGAACCTGCATGGGCACGCTGTACAGGCGGAAGTGGAAGTGGGTGTGTAATGGGGGTGGGGAAGGAGGCGGGGTGGTGTGATGTGTGCGTGGTGGAGACGAGGGCGAACAGCGGAGGAAGGGCTGAAGGGTGTGGGGGGGCGGGAGAGTAATCTCAGCGGAAAATTGGCATCTGACACGAGGCGGCGGCGCGAGGGATCATCGGGGGAGGATTGAGATGAGTGGATGATGGACGGTCCAACCCGAGAGGGATGCGGTGAAAACGGGATGGGAGAAATGCCGCAATAGCATAACAGCCTCGTGTTTTCCGCGACTTTCGTGAGGCCGATGCGCTGTCGATCGGTCAGGGGGGCCTGTACTGGCGAGTCATTTGGAGTGTGAGGACGAGCGGATTGGTCGAAACGAGAAACGTGGATCAGGAGGCTTGCCTCTTTCGAGAGTCAATGGACACAGGTGACCTCGGAGGCAAAACTTCAATGAATCGAGACGAGACGCGTCATGACAAACCATCCAGCGCTGCAGTTTCGGCAGCTTCGCGTGGCGAAATGTGGTTTGGGCTGGATGACAAGAAGCTTGCATTGCATGCATCGCATTGCATGGATAAGGGCGCGTCCCTACCCTTGATCGAACCTGCCCTAGGTCGATCGAGGGCAGCTACAAAGCAACCGTACCTAAGCAATTTACTAGGTAACCAGATTTCGTGGCCAGTCGCGGATGTACAGTGAAGGGGGCCAGCGATCTTGTCACCTGGCCTCGATAACGAACGATGTGCTACCGTGCCTACACCGATCTGGGATTTTATGACGATCGACGGTTTTTTCCCCCTAAAACTGTCGATCCTGTCACCATGGGCTCTAAATTGATCCGCGATCGCAAGGTTGCTGTCACAACCTACCAATCTTGCCCCGAACCTGCAATCGGGTGCCCTTTTGGATTTAGGACAGCGATCCTGCGATCGATCGAGGAAGGGGACGCGGAACAAGGGGGAGGACGACACCTTGGTCCGTCCGCCCCGCCCGCAATGTGGAAGATGGCTCAAAGAAACAGTGAAAGGGTAAGATGAGCAGCATCATGATGAGCAGCAGCCACGTAGATTTCAGTGGAGTAAGTTTGGGTTTATTTGAAAGGGGAGATATCAGCCAGGATCTTCCTAGGGAGGTATAGGCAGACGACCCCCCACGCTTCCAAAAGTCGAGGGACGAGACTAATTGGTAAACACGAGTCGCTCGTTCTTGCGTGTAATTTCAAATATCTGAGGTGGACAGTATAATGCACACTGATTCGAGAAGGAGATCTGTGTCAGCATGGAAGTTTGCGGCATATTCCGTCCACAATCACCGAATATTTTCAGGTGTACTTGTACGCTGTGGCAAAGGGAATCCATCCGTCAGTCGCGAAATAGGGCAAAGAAAGTGGACACATGTTTGGCGGTTCGGGGGACTCAGGGAAAGGGGGATATCGGAAGGAGTGTGGGAAAGGGGCTGACGGATAATGGAATGCTGACAGAGCTGTTGGGGAACAAAAGATTGCACATGTACCTGCAGTTCAAGAAACGTTATCTAGCATTTGAATCAAGCTTCAACATTTACTAACAAATATCTAAACGGTTTATTATCAGGTGTATCAGAAGTACAGTAGAATTATGGATTCCTAATCGAAAGACATGCTCTATAAATTGGAAATCCTTCAGATAAAACGTTGAACGCTTGAGAATTGAGGCAGTGATGTTATGAGAAATAATAAAATCAATGACATGTTACATTTCCGTTACCTACCCAGATAGAGGCCTCGCCTAAAGAAGGGCCATCTATATATTTACCCGGAAAATAAGACTGTTATTGTTGTTGTTACTGTTGTTGTTGTTGTTGTTGTTGGGCTGAGAAAGCCCTTAGGATCGTTGCAGGGGTGAACTCTGAGTAGAGTTGGTGTAGTAGCGGAAGCGTTAATTAAAGAGTTGTGAACCACCTTGCGCTAGTATGTGAGGGCAAAGTAAGTTAATTAAAACAAGGAGATACAAGAATATATATAAGAGTACAAGGAATACGAAGAGGTACGGTTGTAACTACTTTTACTGTTGTTGTTGCGGTTCGATACAGTGACGACTCGGGCAACTGCTCTGTCGCGAGTCAGTTGTGTGTCCTTGCTGTCGCGCTGTATTTGTCAGGTCAAAGGTCGCTGACCTTTGACTTCCCCGTAACCTCCAGCGGTTGCTTCAACCTCCGAGGGTTGACTCGCTCGTGCCTCGATATACTTTGCTTCGCTTGTGTCTTGGTGTTTCGACACGACAGAGGCGCTTAAGATCGACTGTTTCCAACACTCCCCTTCGCTTCTGGAGTGTCGCTGCTGGTGACGTGGCTCTGTCCAGTCAGCAGCATGCAGTACTCAAACTTCTGCTTTCCAAGCTTCTTGGTCAGGTAGTCTGCTGCCATCTCGGACGTGGGGCAGTATGACAGCTCGAGCCTCCCTTTCTCGATCTCGTCCTTCACGAAGAAATATCGCAGGGCGATGTGTTTCGTCCTGCTCGCGAAGCCGCTTTTGTTCGCGGTGCGAATTGCCGACTGGTTGTCGCAGAACAGAGTGAAGCTGGGTAACTGAGCCAGCTTCGCTTCTTCCAGCAGTTCGCGAAGGTAAAGTCCTTCCTTGGTGGCTGAACAAAGTGCAATATATTCTTCTTCGGCTGACGAGAGAGCTATTAATTCCTGCTTGCTCGACTGCCAAGAGATAGGTCCGATGGGTTCGAGGCGGTAGATGTAGCCAGTGCGAGAACGCCTGTTGTCGGAATCGCCAGCGTGATCGGCGTCGACGTAGCCGATTAACTTAGGCGGCGCAGTTGCGTTCTTGTAGTAAGTTAGACCGATCGTCGGGGTGCTAATAAGGTAATGAAGGGCGCGGTCGACTTCTGCTAGATGTTCCGCTTCGGGCCTCTTGAGGTAGGTGGTGAGTTGGCTTGCAGAGTACGATAGGTCTGGGCGGCAGGTGACAGCTGCGAAGAGAAGACAGCCCAGCTTTCTCTGGTAGTCGCGTATGCCAGTGGGCTTGAGTAGAGCGGAGCCTTCCTTGTTATTTCCTGACGTGTAGCGGTATGGTGTAGAGATGGTGGTTGGTGTAAGTGCGAAGCGCTTGGCGATGGTGTCGGCGTATTTCGCGGCGCTGAGGTAGATGGCGTCTTCCTCTTCCCGGATGTTGAGCCCGAGGTACTGTGTGACGGTAGATGAAACTGTCAGTGTGAGATCCTGCTGCAGCTCCCCTTCGAACCAGGTGGTGATGATCGGTTGAGCCGATGTAGAGGAGATCGTCTACGTAGACGATCAGTAAGATGTAGTCTGCGCCTTTCGTAAGCCGGTACATCCCCTAATCGTGAGGTAATTGCTTGAAGCCGATGCGGATGAGGCGGGCGTGCAGATACTGCTGCCATAGCCGCGGAGCTTGCTTGATCCCGTAGAGCGACTTCTGTGAAGAAATGAGGAAGGAATGAATTGACTAAGGGAAAGTTGGGTACAAAAGCAAACCCTAGAAAACTGTACCCCATATGTGCTACCCCACTATAGCCTACAGTAGCTATGTCATATAAATCTGACACACCCCCATAGGCAAAGTGGGGGAGAACAAGGGGTCACAAGACCAGTCAAGCAAAGCAAAGCAAGCTCAGGGTGGATCACAAAGTCACCACACATTCCGAGCACAAGTTCAAGGCCACAAGGCCAGTTCACATGCAGGATTACATATATATATAAGGCTAGACAAGCAAGAGCAGGTGTATATATATATGCAACAGTACAAACAAGGTCAAGGGGTGAGCAAGTGAGGCAAGGTAGGCACAAGGCCCAGCTGAGTACAGAAGCGCTGATGATCACAAGGCGCAAGTGCCTTGGTGAAGATATCAGCAGTGTTGGCCTCAGAGGCCACGTACGCAAGCCGCAGCTGACCACGCTGCTGTAGCTCACGAGCAAGGAAGTAGCGGAGAGCAATGTGCTTCGTTCTGTGCTCCAGTCTCTGCTCTCGACACAAGGCCAGCATGGCCTTGTTGTCTACGTACAGCACTGGAGGAGAACGAGGCGGCTCTCCGAGGTCAGTCAGCAGGTAGGTGAGCCAGCGAAGCTCCTGTGCAGCCATGGCCCCGGCGTAGATCTCAGCCTCACAACTGGAGCCGAGAACAGAAGACGAGCGGGTAGCCCGCCACGAAACAGAGCCGGAACCAAGGCTGAAGGTGTAACCCTGTGACGACCGCTGTGTAGCCTAGTCGTCAGCCCAAGAAGCGTCTGCGTGCCCAGTGAGGACCACTGGACTCTGCCCTCCAAGCACAAGCCCCATGCCCGACGTACTGCACAAGTAGCGCAACACCCTCTTCGCTGTAGCCATGTGCTCCGGTCTGTGTCTCCCAGGAGCAACATAGCGTGCAAGAATGCTAAGAGGGTATGCAAGGTCAGGTCGTGTGCAGGTCATCAGGTACATGAGGCAGCCAACAAGCTCTGGGTACGGGC